TATATTATAAAAATATAACTGTAGTTATCTTCTTAAAGGGTATGTTTTTTATGGGTCGTAGCATGAAGTACAGGGTTGGTTTTTAATTAGGTTGTGGTGACTTTTATTAGCATGAGTATGTAGTGTTAGTTTTGGTGGGTTTGAGGTAGTGTCCTGTAGTTAATTAGTGAGGGTTTTTTTAATATTGATAATTGCATTTTTGTTAATTCTCTTATAGTGGTTTTATTAATTTGGTTTGTTTAATTGTCGTGTATGTTTTATTGTTACCGGTAATTTGGGAGTTATTGTTTATGGTTACATTTGTCTTTTGGTGACGTGTTTATTTCTAGGTGGTATTTGTATTTTGATGGTTTGAGGCATTACGGGTTTATTGAGTTAGGAATATTTTTTTTTTGTGGTTAATTGAAGTTTATTTATTTGGGTTTTTGTTTCAGTTTGATGTATTTGTTGGTTGCTTTTTATTAGTTTTTTTTTTAGGAACTTGTGTATTTATACGGTGGATTTTTTTAGGTAGTTATTTTTTTGGGTGCTTATCTTTTTATTGTCTAGTGGTTTCGATTTTTGTTAATCCCGTTTATTCGTTTGGTTTTTAAAGCTAATTTAGCAGAATACTGCTTACTCCTTGAGTTAGTGTGGAGGTATGGTTTTCATTTTTAGCAGCTTTCAGGGTCTGTTGTATGGTTTGAAGTTTAGTAAGTTGGTTGGACTTCTTTATCTAGTGGGTTTTGTGATTTGTTTTGTGGGCTTCTATAGGGGTGTTTTTTATTTTTGTTTCATTTTTGTGATGTGTCTCACTAACAACTGTTAGTGAAAAGAGTGTAGTGTGGGGGTTTTTTTGCTGGTAGTTGGTTCTATGGTGGTGTATTTTTAGTTTATGTTGTTTGTTTTTGGGTTTCTTTTGTTAATTTGTAATTATTTTTAAGGTTTTAGGGCAATTGAGATTTTTTATATGGATGTCCTGAAAGATAACAGTTAATTTATTTGCTTTATGTGGAATTGATGGCAGGGTAGAGGACATTTTTGTATAGAATGTTTTTTTAGATCATAGTACTAAAATAATACCATGGTAAGAGGGGCTGTGTTTTATTGTTTGTTTCTGGGGTGGTTTGGCATTTTTTTAGAGGTTGGGGTTTTTTTTGTTGGCTCATGGAGCCATTCTGACTGTTTTTGATTATATTGGTCGGAATTTAATGTTTCTTTTGTTATTTTATTTTTAGGAATTGGAT